TTAATTAAATCCAATTATCATGTTTATTAAAGGGAAAACTGTAATACCATTTAGCCAAACCCAATGACTAGTGATTATTTGTGCTTATAATCAGAGCAGGTTGACTGGAGAGTTTGTTTTGACCAAGTCAGATGTTGATTGCACTAACAATTGGTTTGATTTTAAGAGAGGCCATCATCCAATCAGTGTACAGTGAGCTGTTCTTGACAAACTCTAGTGTTTTGTTTTTTTTCATTTGTATTTTGCATATAACCACATGCAATGTGATAACTGCATTTAGATGAAAGCTTTTGGTGCTTTATGACGAAATGTCATGTCATGTTGCAATCAAAGCTGTTAGGACAAAAATAATCAAATTAATTAAAGTCCACTTTAATTAAAATTTAAAAAGATATATTAAAGGGGTCATATGATGTTGCTAAAAATAACATTATTTGGTGTAATGAAATGTGTTTATGTGGTTTAAAGTTAAAAAAACACATTATTTTCCACATACTGTACATTATTGTTTCTCCTCTATGCCCCGCCTTTCTGAAACGCGTCGATTTTTACAAAGCTCATCGTTCTGAAAAGCGAGGTGTGCTCTGATTGGTCAGCTATCCAGTGAGTTGTGATTGGCCGAATACCTCAAGCGTGAGACGGAAATGTTACACCCCTTACCATACTGTGATGCCGTGTCCCGGCTGGAGCGATGAGACAAAAACATGAAAACCCATTACAAACGAGGCATTTGTTGCATCCAGTGGGGACATAATTACTGATTATAATGACTTATACTGTCTTTTTACACGTTGCATTGCATCGCATCGCGCCGTGTAAACATAAAAAAACATAAAACCATGTCTGCATTTGTGATCAGAGAAACGACAAACAACAAGTGCTACTCTACACTGCTCAAAACTCACGTTTGAATCATCAGTGGCAAATTCTTTAAATATGAAAATGTACTTACAGACAGTGAGTCAGAACAGTCGGCATTGTAGTCTATTCTCCCAGGATCAGGAAACAGTCCTCCATAAAATGTGCTGCACACATCGGAATATTTGGGTTGAACTGTTCTGGAACAGTGTTGTAAATACAACTTAACCACTGATTTCTAGTCGTGTCCTCTTTTGGAAGACCAAACAAAGTAGTTTCGCTTTCAAAATGAAACACACAGCATCTCCACCACATGGCGGCGGCAACAATACTACAGCGAGAATCAAAGTTACGCCTTCTTTCTTTGCGTGAACATTTGGGCGGTGTTATGCAAATCTTGTAGACGTGGGGGCGTGTTTAAACGAGGCGTTTTAGGGGGGCGTGGATGAGTCTTATCTTTTATAAAGAATATCTCTTTGGGTTTGAGACTTTAGTCTTTGCAACTTTAGGGCTCTTATCTATTCACGAACAGCTTGTAACACTCCAAAGAGAGAGGAAAACTTGAAATCGCATCATATGACCCCTTTAAGGTTTAATGATATGTAATACCATTTAAATATAATTACACATCTTTAATATTTTCAATTATAAAGTGATGCCTAAATTAAATTGTAGCATTAAAAAGTATTTATTTTATTTATTTATTAAAAAGTATTAAAGTATTTATTGATTTATTTTATTGATTTATTTTTTGCGACAAAATTGTATAGAACTATAGTATCTAAAGCTCATGTTACAATTTTTTATATTTTCACCTTATTTTTGGCACTGCTTTTTCTGGCTTAATTCTTTTTGGCTGTATTCATTTTTTAATATAAAATGACAAAAGAAAACCTTCTGTTTGATTGATTGGTGTATTGATTGTTTTTTTTTATATAAATATTTATAAATATGATTTAAAATCATATTTATTTATAATATGAATTTGTTACTTATTATGATTACTTGAGTAAATCTTACAGTACAACCCTCTACATTGCGAGTAAATCACTCGCATAGGCGACTAAATCTTCACTCTGGGCGACTAAATGATGTCTAATATTAGCTGATGGCTAATCAATTCTCAGATTTTGCTCGCCAGTGTGTGAGTTAGAGACTGAGTATATGATTAGCACAGATATATTTTCCCTCACAGAACACTCTGACTGAGCACTTCAGAGTTTCACTCTCCGTCAAGCAATCCGTGATATTTTTCAGTTCATCTGAATGGATGCGCAGCGCACCTGTGTTTGTGTATTTGGCGTAACGTAAACTCTAGTGTGAAGGCGCACGACTCGCCGTTGCTTTCTCTCACACGCGCAAAGAGCGAGAGCAAGCGAGAGTCTTACATAACATGCAGAACTGATGCGCTACATGTAAACGATATACTTTGTTGTATTTTCCTGTAAAAATAACGGCGTTCCTTTGGAATTCTTCAGCTTTTAAGAACTGCCGGGTTTTCCTGTTGTAGGCGGAACTTATGCACAAACGACAATCTCATTGGCCAGTCCTAAGTTCATGGTTACCAAGTTTTAATTCTAATTACTAAACTTCTATTATTAAATAATACTTGATTATCATATTATAATGCTTGACTGACTGATATTAAGAGTGTACTTTCAGATATTTAAAAAGCTGTACCATTTTACAAACATTATATATGTTTGTAAAATGGCATAACTTATATATATATAGTATAATATAGTATTTCAGTCTGGCGAGTAAACAAAAAAATATACTAGCCAATGGCGATTCAATTGCCAAGGTGTCCGTAGAGGGTTGCAGTAAAATACTATTTCAGTCTTTTTACTTCAATTTTCACATTTAATTCTATGTTAAAGTTTTTGTAATTATATAACACACACTTTATATACATAATTAATTTTAAAGATTGCTAACAATTTCTGAGTAATGTAAATCCTAGTGTGTTTTTTTTTTTCAGTGTACCTTTAGGAGCAGGAACATGCATTAAGAAAATGAACCGGATCAGTTTTGATTTCCTGCTGACTTTAATGCGCTCTGCTCAAACACTCTTTCAAATACTAGTATGAGAATATTAGCTGAAACTAAATGTGTTTTAATGAATTTTAAATTCTTGAGCAGCCTTAAGAAATCCATGCACATGAAAATCTGCTGTATCCGGCAGTTAAAAACTGATATACAAACCAGATGTCTGAAGTGAACTCCACTGAGGTTTCAGCTATGACCATAAGACCAAATGGAACAAAACAAGAATATCTGAACACAACCTCTGCATTTATTAAAAAAAGCGCATTGTGCGAGTATCAGCGCACCTGTTTGGCCCACGGTAGAGAACATGCGGCCCAGGCCACACGAAGTTTGCTCTGTTCGCTAGTTGAAGTGATTCAGGGAGAGGTCAAAAGTGCAGGGCTATTCACTTGAGCTTTATAGATGTGGCTGTGTTTTTACCACGGTCCAGTTTTCCCACCTCTCTCCATGGGATTTCTTCTCGGCTGTCCCCTACACGACACACACACACACACTCTCCCTCGATAGTCGCCCACAGCTGGGCTCTGGGAGGAACACATCCGACAAACACAGATTTCGCACTCTCACTCTCTCTCCGTTACACACACATGATACAGACAGGTGTTTGCGAGTAGTATTATTGTTCGTTTTTTTTTACAGGAACACTGAATGACCAAAAAAAGCACCAGCACCAGTCCTAAGTTCATGGTTACCAAGTTTTAATTCTAATTACTAAACTTCTATTATTAAATAATACTTGATTATCATATTATAATGCTTGACTGACTGATATTAAGAGTGTACTTTCAGATATTTAAAAAGCTGTACCATTTTACAAACATTATATATGTTTGTAAAATGGCATAACTTATATATATAGTATAATATAGTATTTCAGTCTGGCGAGTAAACAAAAAAATATACTAGCCAATGGCGATTCAATTGCCAAGGTGTCCGTAGAGGGTTGCAGTAAAATACTATTTCAGTCTTTTTACTTCAATTTTCACATTTAATTCTATGTTAAAGTTTTTGTAATTATATAACACACACTTTATATACATAATTAATTTTAAAGATTGCTAACAATTTCTGAGTAATGTAAATCCTAGTGTGTTTTTTTTTTTCAGTGTACCTTTAGGAGCAGGAACATGCATTAAGAAAATGAACCGGATCAGTTTTGATTTCCTGCTGACTTTAATGCGCTCTGCTCAAACACTCTTTCAAATACTAGTATGAGAATATTAGCTGAAACTAAATGTGTTTTAATGAATTTTAAATTCTTGAGCAGCCTTAAGAAATCCATGCACATGAAAATCTGCTGTATCCGGCAGTTAAAAACTGATATACAAACCAGATGTCTGAAGTGAACTCCACTGAGGTTTCAGCTATGACCATAAGACCAAATGGAACAAAACAAGAATATCTGAACACAACCTCTGCATTTATTAAAAAAAGCGCATTGTGCGAGTATCAGCGCACCTGTTTGGCCCACGGTAGAGAACATGCGGCCCAGGCCACACGAAGTTTGCTCTGTTCGCTAGTTGAAGTGATTCAGGGAGAGGTCAAAAGTGCAGGGCTATTCACTTGAGCTTTATAGATGTGGCTGTGTTTTTACCACGGTCCAGTTTTCCCACCTCTCTCCATGGGATTTCTTCTCGGCTGTCCCCTACACGACACACACACACACACTCTCCCTCGATAGTCGCCCACAGCTGGGCTCTGGGAGGAACACATCCGACAAACACAGATTTCGCACTCTCACTCTCTCTCCGTTACACACACATGATACAGACAGGTGTTTGCGAGTAGAATTGCTCTCTGCTGACCGTTCGATTTATTTATGAGCCTCTGAGAAGCAGATCTCATGCTGGAAGATTCTGTTAAAGTCTCTTTTCAGTTCGACGTTTGTTTCACTCATTCATCCACGGTTAGTTATCAGCAAGGTGCTATTGTAAACATGTCTGACAAAACGTGTTGGTTGACTTTGCCACCCACTGAGGTGAAGTTTCTGCACCTGTTTTGTGCATTAACTTTTCCATTGACTTTTGATAGAGAGATGTGAATTAAAATGCGATGTTGGTGTCTCATCTGAGTTTTGTTGTTGTGTTTGACAGTATCTTCAGATGAAATGGCCTCTTCTGGACGTTCCAGGCACGGCAGTACTCAGAGACTCACGATCACCTACTCCAGGACAATTAGTGAGTATCTCACTAACACACACACACAGTGGCCACTATAAGTATGCAGACACTTCATATGTCATTGCATCAGATGGAATGGACATTTATTGTACAGACAGATGGCACAAACACCATGACTTTCTCAGAATGAATCTCAGTTTTCTTTTCTGCCAGAGAGAAAAAAAATAAAGTAATTTATCTCACAACTCCGACTTTTTAGTTTCTCACCATTCTGCTTTTATAGCTTGTGATGCTATTTATATCTCATAATTCTGCGTTTGTCTCTTAAAGACTTTTTTCTTATAATTTTGCATTTACATCTCACAACTCTTCTGCATTTCTAGCTTGCAATTCAGCTTTTCTTCTCAGAATTCTGCATTTATATCTCATAATTCAGTTTATATCAGGCAATGCTGACTGTTCTCAGAATTGTGAATTCATATCTCTCAGTTGTGAGTTTATCTCATAATTCTGAATTTAAAGCTTGCAGTTGTTTATTTCATAATTCTGCATTTATCTCGTAACTGCATTTATATCTCACAGTTCTGCATTTATATCTCATAATTCAGTTTATATCAGGCAATGCTGACTGTTCTCAGAATTGTGAATTCATATCTCTCAGTTGTGAGTTTATCTCATAATTCTGAATTTAAAGCTTGCAGTTGTTTATTTCATAATTCTGCATTTATATCTCATAATTCTGCGTTTAAGTCTCATAATTGACTTTTTTCTTATAATTTTGCATTTACATCTCACTCTTCTGCATTTCTAGCTTGCAGTTAAGCTTTTATATCATAATTCTGCATTTATAACTCATAATTCAGACTTCTCAGAATTCTTCATTTATATCTCATAATTCTGTTTATATCAGGCAATGCTGACTTGTCAGAATTAAACCTTTGTAGATTGCAATTTTGTTTTGTATCTCATAATGCTGACTTTTCTCAGAATTGTGCATCTATTGAAAGTCAATGCTACCCAAATTTAAAAGCTTCAAAATGTACATAAAGACTTCAAACTGAAAATAAAAATGTAAATAGAAGATGTAAATAAAACTAAAATCATTGGAGTATGTTTTACATTACATTTTTTGGGTACATCAATGTAATCCATATTAATCAAGAATTTTATTCGACGATAACTTTGTTGAACAGAATAATTTATGCTTTTATTCATATATAAACATTGAACAATGCACAACATACAAGCACAACAGATAAAGTAAATGAAACGTGCACATATTTGATGAGCTTTATGTATATGTGCACTGATCAGTGTTTAAATGGATTTAATATTGCCATTTTTGTTCTGCAGATGAATGAAAGTCTTATGGGTTTGGAAGGACAGAATTTTCCATTTTTACATGCCAAAAACTATCCCTGTAACGTCAGCATGAAATTAGTTTGAAAAGCATGAAAGTAATTCCATGCATTTTATTTATGATCTTATTGTGAATGAATCATTCACATGTTTGTTTTTGTTGACGTGTATACAAGGTCACACTGAATTTAAGCAAATCACATTCAGATGTTTTTTTTCCCCCATACCAAATCCCTGATGTGTTTTTAATAGTTCTGTCAGGTAATCTTTATTGATGCACATAAAGGCTACCTGAGCTTGTTTTGATTTGTGTTATTGATGTGGATGACCATGCAAAGCATTTGCTTTTGTTTGGTGTGCAATGAGAACGGCTTTTCTGAAGAGGAAAAAATCAAAAAGCCGTGTTTCCAGCCTACAGCGTATTTGAGAATAAAATTAATTTATTTTATACTGTACATGGGCATTTATAATCAAGCCGTTTTGGTTGCCTGTAGGTGCATACCAACTAATGAAAGCTGTTTTCTCAGTGATTCTGGCTCAAACCAGAATGAGTGGTACATATATTTCACTGCTTAGTGTACAGTGATCGCTGCTGGATAAGAGCGAGCTTCCCTGTTGGGCAGATCTGTGTGAATTCCAGTCAGGCAGGTTGGAGGTCAGGAGGTTTGCAGGATGGTAGTTTGTATCCTCAGCAGACCTGTGTGGTTTGATTCACCTCTGGTAAGCTGATGAGAGGTGATAAATTTAACCAGAGCGTTACATTCTTGCTGCGGTGGATGTGTGTGTGTGTGCGAGAATGTGTCAGGATGAAACATGCAAACACACAACATGAGGAACCTCAGAGGGTGAGTCAGGTAGACTGACCCCGTACTAAACCGGTTTCAAAGCAGAGTAGGTGAATGAGTGACTTTTCTGCACGCAGATATGATCATCAAACTTTAAACATCTAATACGTGATTAATCAGTATTGTTTAATGTCAAATTTATTGTAAGAAATCATTAACAAACATTATACAATAGATAATCCACACTGAAATTAAGAATAAAAAAAGTATTGTTTAATGTCAAATTTATTGAAAGAAATCATTAACAAACATTATACAATAGATAATCCACACTGAATTTAAGAATAAAAAGTGTTGTTTAATGTCAAATTTATTGTAATAAAATGAACACTATAAAATGTATAATTTGCATGGAATTTAAGAACAGAAAAGTACTGTTTAATGACAAATTTTTTGTAAAAAATTAACAGACATTATAAAATGTAAAATTCATATTGAATTTAAGAATAGAAGTGGTTTAATGTAAAATGTATTGTAAAAAATTAACAGACATTGTATAGTGGATAATACACACTGAATTTGAGAATAGAAAAGTGTTAGGTTTAATGTAAAATTTATTGTAAAAAAAAAAAATTAACAAACATTATAAAATGTATAGTTTACATGGGATTTAAGAATAGAAAAGTGTTTAATGACAAAATTAACTTATTGTAAAAAAAATCATTAATAAACATTACAAAAGGTATAATTCACATTGAATTTAAGAACAGAAAAGTGTTGTTTAATGTCAAATATATATTTTTTTTAATTAACAAACAAAGTGGATAATCCACATTTATTGTAAAAGATAAGAATATAAATAGTGGGAAATTATAAAATGAATGAAATAAAAATGGTTATTTTTTTATTTGGATTAACCAATTTATGGATTATAATAGACGTAATGGATTTTATAAAGCCAAAGCATTTGGAAAAGTTTTTACTTGGGTTACTCTTAGGGCTGCACGATTAATCGAATGCGATTGTCATGCTCTTTTTTGATAATAATGCGTTTTCTGTAATAAGCAGGAAATCATCATCACGTGCTTTCAGATGGAGCAGCATTTACTACACAGAGCCGTAGTTCACTGACAAGTTATGCAAAAAAATCATATTTTTCACATTTAATAACACGTTTTCACAAACTCACTTCATAACGTCAGTCGAGTGTTTGAAATAAATCCTTCTGTGAGATGATGTGGCTTCTTACACAGAATAAGGCACACAACATATTTCATAGTATTTAAGCAGTGATAAAGGCATTGCATTATAAATATACTTTATTTTAATGAAAATTATAATAATAAGAACTCAGATAAACCGTATATTGCCGTAGTCGTGTGTTTATTAGTCACGCTGAATCAATGAAAGCAGTTCAATCTTCTGTTTATTCAGCTGCAGCGATAGGCATTTTCTGGATTTCTTCTGCGAGGTGTATTTGGAGTTTTAGCGTGAGAGCGCCCTCTGGCCTTTGGATGGAGATTTACTGCTGATCACAGAACCGTGCTTCACTGAAAGATACGCATGACAATCGCAGCTTCTGTCTAATCGCGATTTCGATTCCATTTCAATTTATCGTGCAGCCCTAGTTACTCTTTAAATAGTCTAAATTACATTTCATTGCAGTCACTTTTCTTCTTAGTTTTTTTTTTTTTTTTACTTAAAATCTTTGTGAAAAGTTTTGCTTAATAGTGTTTTTTTTTGTTTTTGTTTTTTTTTTCATTTGTTGATATTATAATTGAAGTGTGCCGTTCATGTCCAAATACTTTTTGGGGTACATGAAAATTTGTGAATCAGAGTCTCATGACATTGTAAACAATTAGATTTTTCCTTAATCTGACAATAAATATGATTAGGTTACATTATATACATTATATATACATATACATATACAATACATTATAAAAGCATTGCCATTATTCCCAGCCTTTAAAGAACAGTTCAGCTACTTAGCAGCTATTAGTGGTTTTAATGACTGATTTGTTGCTCTTACTCAGTCTGAAATCTCCCTGTGACAGGGAGACATAATAAATTGTGACATAATAAATACAGACGGATGACTGACAATGTCATCATTGAGTCTTTGGCAGCCAGAGGGCATTCAGTTGTGTGTGTGTGTGTGTGTGTGTGTGTGTGTGTGTGGGTGTGTGTGTGTGTGTGTGTGTGTGTGTGTGTGTGTGTGTGTTTCTTTCAGTCTCCTCTATCTGGCTCAGACTCGCTTTGTCACAGTAACCCCTGAACTCTCTCTAACCTCCAAGCACACCATGAGATTGCCCTTAAAAAACACAGAGAGCCTTGTCTCACCACCCAGCCTGGCCATGAGGCCTTTATTGTATTTGCTTAATATAATGTTATAAAATGCATGCACTCGCATTACGGGATCAGCAGAAAATCAATCAAATTAGCTGTACTTGAACAACGAGTATTGAGGATTTGATGAGAGCGCAGTCTTCCTTCCTGTGGCGTTCCTCCGCCCGGATGCCCTTCTCTGGCCCTTTTTACGGCCGACAGCTGGAGTGAAGGGATTTGCTTAACCTTGGCGTTGGCTGGAGGATTGTTTGAGAAAACATCTGATATTGAATGTCAGACTCGATGAGGGGAATTTGCATCAGGGTGTGAAGAGGGTGACTGAAGGGTGAGCTCAGGTGTGTCTTTATTTAAGGTTTTTTATTTATGGAGGAGAATGGCGCCGTGAATATGACCTGCGGGGAGCGAAAACTATCACCAAACAACAGGTGACCACAGCGTACCTGAAAAATATCACATGTGTTATACTAAAGATGGAGATCAGTGCTAATGTGTTGACCGTAGGTTGATCATTAGATGTCTTTTTATTATTGAAATTGTTAACTTACTCGGCCAATAAGAATAGCT